ACTTGTCGCATGGGAGTTGGCTCAGTATGAGATAAAACAACGAGCAAGCAAATATGGAAGCAAGGAAACATTCTTGCCTCATATGGTTGCAGTTGTCGACAAAATAAGGATCATCTTTTCACGGACCATCATTGCCGATATCCATCACAACAATAAGATTATGTGTAAGACAGCGAGAGTAGGTACTTACACATGCGTACGGCATAACACACGCAGAAGGGATATCACCATCAACCACATATTTCTAAACATTACATGACGTGAATTCACAAATTCGCACTTTAATTCTCGTGACACATATCTCCCGTTCTACAGCTCCGTTCACAACTAGGCATGATATTGCGGAGACCAGAAAAATGTGAAAATAAACACAAATGCACGGTATGCTGTCATCTTAACCGAGACATGCATCAGAGAAAACCTGCCTCCGCCCGAAATGGCTGAAAAATCAAATTAAATGGCAGAAACCGCCGCCACCCTACTACCTACCGGTCACGTAACCGCTCTATAGCGGCAATAACATGATGTTCTGACATTTGTCTCGGTGTTCCTTTATGCAATCGGCTGTTTGTCGCCTAACGCCTACACTTTTGCGTCTCCCGTTTCAAGAGCATTTGTAGCATGCCCCACACACTGGGCTTGCCGTAACCACACTGTGTGCTCCTACATCCATTATCAGAGGCTTAGCGAAACGATGAAAGGAGCTGAGCATATTGAAAACTATTATGATCATACTCAAATTCCATACCCGTATCTTTGTCATATTTCTTTCGGTCTTATGCGTTCACTGCAGTTCGTCTTACGCGACAAAAGCGATCGGTTGCCTTGATCGATCATCTTACCGTTCGCGCCATTTTCATTCACGCCAACCTGCCTGTCGCCAAGCGTGTGCGAACAGTCTGGCGAGTCAATACAGATGCTCTCGTTATTCGGACGTGGAAAGCTTCGAGAGCATCGGAGCCTTTCGGCGCCAGCCCATGGACAGAGCACAACTTGTTGCGAGAGGCTTGGTATTTTGGGACGGGGTCAGCGTGAGGTCAAGCTAGGAGCAAGCAATTATGGAAGGAAGCGAGCATTGTTTTTTTCCTGTTTTGCCCGCTATGGCTTCAGTTATTAGCAAAATGAGGAATATCGTGTCACGGAAAATCGTTGCCGATATCGAGCGCAGCAATAATATGACGTTTAATTCTCGCCATGATAGGCAGTGACTATGGCACGTGTTTTGATACCAAAGCGTGTTCCTAGATTTTCTGGTTTCGGAGCAGCGGCAATTTGTGATGAGCGCTCGACGGCGATCTATGGCTGGCTCAGGGCGGCGGGCGGCAAGGAGAATTGCACTGCAGAATGTACTCAGAATTGAACAAGACACACGCCAATTTAAGGTTCATGTCACCGCAACGGCTTGTTCTCGTAAACATTAAAGAAAGCTACAAAGTGCGGTTTTCTGCAAAATTCGGCCTTTGACCTGTCAACAACATAAAAACTAGCACTAATCGTGAGATCATGTTCAGAACAACATACTGCTGTTCTCGGCAAGCTCTATCTTTGCAAGCTTGGAAACGCAGGGGAGGGTCTCATCAACCCCCTCTTCCCATATCAGTCCGAGTTATGCAAAACGGCGAATCAGGGCGACGGTTAAGACATATAGCGAGCATAGGTACTTAACATACGTACAACGCACATGCAGAAGGGATATTACTATCAGCCACATATTTCCTGCGCGCAACATTACATGAATCCACACTTTTGCACTCCGATCTGTGGGTGCCAGAGCTCTCACGTTATGCCACTCTGGTCATAATTCGGCCAGATATTCCGGAGGCCAGACAATCCTTACAAGAAACAGAAAATTGCACGATATGCTGTCATTTTCACCGAAAGAGAAATCTAAATAACTTGTCACGTCAATCACGAAAACATATGTGATGCATGTGAGCATTTCGCGTGGCAGTGTTTTTAAGACCGGTAAGTATTTTTGAAGGTGTATTCGCTTGGCCCTGCCATGAGGCCGTCGTTATTGAACGGGGACACGCACTGAAACTAATTTTCGATAACAAATGCGATCGACATTACCTTCAATGGCCCCTTGTCTTTGCCGATTCTGGACCACTACCTGGCGCGAAATTTGATGGGTGACTTAACCGCATGTCCCGACTGAGCGGCCAGAGGGGGTCCACGAGTTCGCCAGAGAAGGCTTCTTGGACTGCTAGACGCTGCTACGGTATTGTCGAATTGTTATTTGACAATATTTTTGCCCTTCTCATTCAGTATGGCCATTTTTGGGGCTACGCGCTTCCAAAAAGAGCTCTTTCCAAGGGGTTCCGAGACCCCTCGACCTTCTCCCCCCCCCCTTTAACAGGCAGACCCCAAAATAATTTTCAGCCAAGACTTGAGACCCCATGCATTTCTCGATTGGGGCTGAAGGACCTTTCCGTCCTCTTTCAGATTTGCAATCGGTTACTATTACTACACATGATACATTGGTCCCCTCTCTGACGCCGATGGCCCTCTGACTGGGATGGTTGATCCTGGATCAAAGCGGGGCCACTCACCGTTTCAAAATGTCCCAAGAGTACCGGATTTAATAAATAGCACAGGGATCCCAGTTCGACGCATTTGGTCTCTAGAGCAAACGGGTAGAAAAACCCTAGCCGGTGCTGGTTCCTGACTGACATGAGGCTCATCCATTAAGGCGCCCGTCAAAAAGGAGGGGGGGGGGGGGGGCGGCTCCGGTCCAGCACGAGCGAGATCCCGAGATGTCCGACACGTCTGGATGTCCGGTCGGCCAGAATGTGTACTGCGGCGAACCGAGTGAAACCGAGTCAGGGGCCTCGGGCTCTGACGTCAAGATGGCGACGTGCCCGACTGAGCTGGCAGCGTCTCGACCGCGCACGGGCTGCCCCACGGACAGGCCTCGCGCGCGTGTGGCGGGGTTCAGTTTTTGGGCGAGGGACGGCGCGCGCGTGAATGCGTTCTTTTTTTGGCGGCCGGGCTGCCTCGTCCGCCGGCCCGCCGCGGGCGTGGCTGCCGGTCGGACCGTCGAGCTGGGCAGCCTCTGGGCTGGCCTGTGTGTCCGAGCTCCGCGTCCAACCGATTGCACATTATTATTCCCACATATAGACAGTGATTGAGCGGTGGCAGCGGTGACGTTTGGCAGACAGTTGAATACATTCACAGTCAACGTTTGCTTTTTTACTTCCTATTTACTTGCAACCAGGAGTGCGGTTTCCTATTCAGTTACAGGGGTTTCACCCCCCGCCGTAACTTGGGTTCCAGCCTGCAGATTTGTGAGAAAGTGAGCCGAATTCGGAGAAAAACCAATTCGTTGGCGTATTATCACGGTCCTCTTCGTTGTATTTTCATCGCTCAGCCAACCAACTTATTTTGGTAACCACGCCCGTTTAAAACGTACTTAATCGAAGAAGCGAGCAGGCTGGGCCATTGAACGTGTGTTACCAGGGGGTAGCATTCGGATTCAGCTGATGAGACAGCCCCCACCCCTTCTCTTTGAGAGTAAAGGCATGTAGAATTCAGAATAAGCACCGTTTGCAGGAGCGTGTGAAAGAATTTGCAATTGGAGGAGGGAGGGGAATCAGTCAAATAGTCACTAACAATATAGGTTAGCGTGCCAGGAGCTGGAGATCTATATGCTTGCCTGCCTGGAACAGACATCAAATCCGTCAGCCTTACGCATCAGTCGTCAGTTCCTTCAAAATATGAGAAACATCACCAACCCATACAATAAATAACGGAACCAAATACTGCGGATAATCCTATCCATAGCCCACAATACCAAACAGCAGGCAGCCCGACAAGTACTTTCCACGATTACCGTGCAGCTACTGCCGAATAACGAGCTATTGCGATGCCACGAGCCAGGGACCAATGTTTTGAATTATCTAATGCGCATGCCGCCAAGGGCGTGCTGACGCGGCAAAATTTGTGCACTAAAAAAAACAAACAAACAAAAGACGCTGTCCGCATCCATGCACAGTGGTTTAACTGGACAGCACTGTACCGCATGACGTCACTCGTCGGCTGAGGCGGGTGAAATCGGCTCAGGTAGCCATCTATCGGGTAATATTCGAACCATTAGGTGAAGGGTTGCGAAGAAGTGGGACAACATCCCAGGACCGTGGATTTCACGCACGCTGGAGTTTAGGAACGCTGGACTTTATGATTCTCCCCTGTCCAAGGGGCTTTGGACGTTTTCTGGGTCTTGTGAGCGCTGGCTGCTGCGATCCTAGACTTTTTGACCACTGGACTTTATGAACTCTGTACGTTCCAATCCGCATCCGTGCCGGGATAGCCGACAGCCCGGGTGGCGGCTGTCTGGCGACGGATCTTCGAACCAACCACTCTGAAGTATCGGGTGCACCTGGGCCCGCGCCATGCACGAGAGGGCGCCCGCGCTGCGCCCCGCCTGCACGCGCAATGTCAACCGCGAGCGGCGAGGCAAGGCCCGCATCGCGACGGTCATCCGTCGCGATGGGGGGAATGTTTTGCCTGCCCATTAGCAGCCGCCAAAAGCTGCTCAGAAGCCGGCGCCGCGCGACCCGTGCAGACTGCAGGTCCCAGGTTTCGTATTCTATCTTCCTGGGGTGAGTACTCATTCTTCAGACCATTTCAGGTTTGTTTTTTTCTCAGATGGATTCTAAAGAAAGGACGAGCTTCCCCAAGCAAACTGGGGTAGGATATATCATTGCACGGTTAGAACCGGTTTAGACGAAAAATGACGCCAACAAAGGAAAATAAGCTACTTTTAGCCCGTTTTGTGCTAACCCCGTTTCAGACACATTGAAGTATTACTCGAATGTCAATTTGAATACGAATCTCAATGTGTTTGCAGCTGAACACGTTCACAAACGCGCGTTTCTTGTGATGTGCGTCAAATATCCAGAAGCAGGTCAATGATCCCAGCTTGTTTTGAAAGGTTTGTTTTCGCTGGTCGTATCTAGTGTGGGTTGTGCGACGCTTACGCCGGCAGTACCAATCGGCCATCGTTTTGACTGCACAGGAAAGTGCGCAAGCAAGGGGATTTTGTAACGTTTTTCCATTCGCGAGGAAAGGAGGTGCAGGACTGATGTCTCTGTATTGTTGAAAATGCTTTTTTAAAATCAGTGCATGCTCATTAAAAGCATGAAGGCACATGGTTGTGTGTCAGAGCTTATCAGTTCTTGGTGCTGCTGTTTGACAAACACCTCGTGGTGTGCTGAAGTCAGTCAGGATAAGAACTTGAAGCGTGGGGTGCTGCATGGCCATTTCCAGATGACATGCCCTAAAATTCCCCAAATGGTCATCTCCAAACTCAATTCTCAAAACTCCTGAGCTGACTGCCCTTATTTTATTTGTATGTTTGCATGCTGTTGGCAATTGTGTGTGCATTTGTGTATGGATATGTGGTGATAACATTTGGTTCTATTTCAGATTTTGCTTTAAGTCATCAAGATCACGTGAAAGTGCTTCAATTCATTGTGTAACATTGTAATCAACATTTACTTCTTGGTGTAGCAAAATGTCCATCATGCACAGTATTCAACAGGTGAGCAAGAGTGCTGTATAAGACCAAGCTGCCATATATTTGCAAGCATAGCCATCATATGAAGATGGTTATGACATTGCAGCTTTGCCTGTAATATTGTATGGCTATTATAGTGAAGGGTACATAAAAACTTTGGCAGCCAACCAGGAGCATGCTTGCCTGATAAGGCTTATAAGAGCAACATGACCTATGCCTAAATGTAACTTGATTTCCAGCCAGGTATGGGTCAAATAATACTAACAAATTGTAATGATGTGGCACTTAGAATTGGGGGGGGGGGGAGTTAGTCAAAGGCTACCTTTAGCTTATATGTCTCACCATCCTGTTTCCACTGTATTTACTGCTGCCATCTCACCACCTTCATATTTACAATTGCTGCCTGTGTAATGGGGGAATAGACCAGCTCCTTTGGATTTTTTCATTTTTGCCTAGATAGGATTACAGCACTCTGTTCATTTTCTGTTCCTTACAGTGTTCAGATATGGTTCTCTGGTCCCTGGCCTGTGAGTGGTACCCTAGAAGCCTGATCATAGGCCATGGCTGGAAAAACAGCTGTGAGTAGGGTTGTAATGTGGTATATTATGTATGCAAATAAACATGACAAAAGTGGGTATGCATATCCAATCACCATTTGAAGCCCTGATTTTTCCTTACTTATGCCTATATTGCAATGGTCTTGGGCTGAACTTTGGGGAGGCAAAGTAGGGGTTGTGTTCTAACAGTACCTGCAGATCATTGTGGTACCTGTGCCTGTTATATGGAATGTGTTGAGGTTAGCTGCCTCCCTGGTTTGGAAAAATAATGGTATTCATCTGATTCCTTATTGAATTTCAGCCTCCTTCTTTTGGGGATTTCAGAGAAGTGTTGTTGATGCAGTTTTTACACCAGTTTGATGTTAATCTGCTCAAGAAAGAGTTGTTGCAGCCAAAATGGATTAGTGGGCCCCTCACTTATGGTGTGGACCTGGCCCCCAAAACCCCCACAGTTTTCATGCTACTGGACATATGCATTGAAATTTGGTGTTAACTTAACACCTTGGGTGGTTAGACATTTTGTCTAAAGCTCTAAAATGCCTCAAGTTAAATCATCCTTCACCATTACTCAGAGTAATTATGTAAAAGCACTTGAAGATCTGAGGGGATAGTAACAGTTCTGTGGCCCAAATCTGAGCAGCTCATGGCAGTGTGAGAGGAATGGGCGCCACATGTTTGGCGAGAGTGTTTGGAGGCATCTTGCTTTGCATGCATGGGTTGTCACATGCAAGGATATGTGTACCCACTCACCAAGCCATGATTTAAATCAATTATTTTGTTTCATGAGGCTCAGCTACCATCCCCCAGCTGCACAGCTGGCCCAGGTCAAGCTCCACACCGATCCTACCCTCAGGCACTGAACATCACACCCACTGCCACAGTGTGGCATTGGTGCAGCAGGCGGGTGCGGTGGGTGGTGATGGTGCCGGATGTACCTGATGCTGATGCTCTTGATAGTGTTGCTGTGGAGAATACTAGTACAGCTTGGGAAAATTTAATTATCCAGCTACAGTGCACCGGATGCTGACCAATTTTCGTGGACCATGCTGTGTGCGAGCGGTGGTATCGGGGGAGGTCTCTGACAAGGACACCAGGGTACCCTTACCCAGTCTCTACTGGCCTTTTGTAGCTCCTACATGTGCATATCGATCGCGCATAGGGATTTTTTAATTCTTCCTATGGCAAAGGTAGATGGAGCTCTGCCATTAAGATCCTATGCCATAAAGGAGAGGGGGTATCCTGTGGATGCCAGAAGCTGATAGGAAGGTCGGTGGGATAGCATAACGTCTGAACAATGTATGAGTTACACTTAGTTCATGTGAACGCCGGGTGCATCCTGCATGGGGGCATGCATAGCCTTGATGTGTGTCAGCCCCTTCGTGTGTTGTTACCGTGTAGGTGCCTGAAGTTGGTCGGGACAGGTATCCATCTTGAGCTGGTAAAGAAAAAATAATTTCATAAAATGCGTTTTTCTTTGGGTTTCTGGAGCTGCAAGCATTGTGTAAAAGCAAAATTGATACTTAAATAAGTGTAAATGAAATATATCAGTGATGCAGTTGCAGCAGTAAGTCAGCTTCGGAGAGGCGGAGATCGCTACAATCTTGAGAGAACGCATCCGGTCCGACTTAAGTACTTGGTCCAAAGATACACGGATCAGCGAGACGTTCACCACGCAGCGCGGTGAGGACAAGCATGCGGGATGCATTGGTGGACAGAGACCAATTTGACTGATTTGTTGACTGGAGTGGACATTGAAGGTCATGTCAGTATCCGATTGCGTTGAATGGTTAAACGGGGCTGCTGGTGCCACGTAGGCTAGCGGCAAATCGAGGCCGACGAAAACGAAATGTTTTTCCTGCAGCGGAATAGCAGTTATTCATCCCATTGCTGCAGTTGAGACAGGGACAAGGGCAGCCGTATCGGCATACTAATTATTCCATTGTCAAAGAGAACAGCCTGGCATTGTATGAAATGGTCCTTCCGTTTGATTTTAAACGAGTAAAACTGGATAAGGTCATTGGTCAGCTAGCTAGTCCCCCCATGTGGTCTACACGGTTTGGGACGCGTTGGCCCGCGAGGTGTGCACAGTCTCGAAACGATTTGAAATTGACATGGGAAAGCAATACGCTAGTTTGTATGTCAGCCAACCGGAGACGAATAAAACCCCGGTCTTAATGACGCTTGTTGGGGTTACCCCTAGATGCCGCCCCCTACACTACACTGATTGGGGAGATCACCCCCGCACAGGCTCACACCAAGCATATGGTCGCGTTTAGCCTCATACCACAAACTTGCAAGCCAGTCAGTATGTTCGTAGGCTAAGTGTACTTGTACAAATGCAATGATTCATGCATTGGTGACGTGATGATCGTGGTTTCTTTTCAGGTCATATTGCTGTTTTGGATCATGACAGCATCAATATGCTTATCAAAAAAGTAAGTTGCATGTTTCCAGTGGTAAAACCAGCCTAAAACTTACTGCCTCAGGCGACTTTGTGCCGCAGTAAACAATTGTTCGATTTTAGAAGGCTGGTGTTGCCGCCTTACTCGAAACATTAAGGCACCAGCGTTTTACGATCGCTGACTGATAAAGGTGACATTCTCTATGTCAATGCATCAGTACCGCTGAGTGCTGAGTTAGTTTGCCACGTTCGCTGACTAGGCTGTGCACAATGGGTAGAAGGGATGGAGACCTACAGTAGGATTGTTTTGCTTATCTGCCAACCACTCACAGAATCCTGACCATAGCTGGCATCTTCCAACTGCATGAAGCACATAACAGGAGGGTTCACGAAGGAGGAAGAATATGAAATTGTCTCTTTGCATCTCCTTCATGTGTAACACACCAAGGAGAGGTTTGAAACCAGCAGTTGTTTCCAGAGTTACATGGGAAATTTGAAAGCTTGTCTGTAGAAAGCCCACATCCAATGGTCTCGGATTGAGCCCTGTTTCATTCCCGACGCTTTTAAGCTGTGAGACGTGAAAATGGCTGTTTGCATAGCTTTCCGTTAATGTTTCGACAATAATTTTTTATCTTCAACTTAATCGGCTCAGAGCGTTATCTCAAGGGAATGAATGACCTGATACTTTCAATAATTAATACTTTAATAAAGAGCTGGAGCGCTAGATATTTGAAAGCATCAGCTATTTATGAAGTCCTAACACCGAATAAATGTTTTGTGTTGCCCAGTTTTGGAAAGCAGTCGATACAAATGAAAGAGTAGCTCGTAAGCCCTCTATCAGTTTTCTACCCCACTGAATCCCCCGAATCATATCAGTGAATTCTGTCGCCGGTGGATCTCTCTGTAAGTCGCGAGATTGGCGTCCCCAACGTCCTGTGTCTGCAGACACTTGTCAATATTGTTGTACTTTGTGTGGAATATGACGCGTGGGCTATATCCCGTGTGGCCTTCACTGCGGAACACAACCACAGCTGAGAAGGTCTGACCATACACGTGGCATTCTCCTTAACACAGGCCCTTTATCCAACCGATATTATTATTAATTACTGTGTTGCACATTCCTGCATGGCACACCATACTTTGCAAGCGGGTGGCTGTATAAATTGAAATTTGTTTAGATGACGAAGTGAAAATATTGTTTGCAATATATGCAGGGAAACAATGCATTTTTGAACAGCCAACACTTCCGCTTACGTGTATTATTTTACTGTTTGGGTTCTCATGGCGTTCAAGCGTAAACATAACACTTATCTTCCTGGTCACGGGTAATTTCATGCTCCAGTAATAAGACATGTACTTTGCAACCAGAAAACGAGGTAGATGCAATCACCCTGCCCTGACCCACCCTTCTTCTGAAAGAACGGCTCGCCTGTGTCCCACATATGCAGTGCCAAGGACTGTTTTTATCGGCTGGCTCCCCAGGGACCGAGATTGTGATGTACCAGACTCCTACGTTGATGAGGACAAACTGCACACGAGCGAGAAGTGTATCCAGGAGCTGAATGACTTGGCTGATGCAATTACACAGTAAGTGTAAGGCCTCGGTGGTTGTAGGTTGACGTGAGGCATTTGGTAGGTGTTGCAACCATGCCATGCATGTCGGGAAGGTCATATCACAGCAAATATGTCGCTGTCAATTTGATCCATTGAAAGTTGTGGATCATGTGCAGGGTACTATGTTTGTGTGTATGTGTTTGTATCTACGTAACATTTGTTTCTGATGGTTTGCTTTTTTGTGGTTCGCAGCAGGCTGCACTTACATAACATTTGTCTCTGATGGCCTGCATATGTTTTTTTGTGGGTGGTTTGCAGCAGGCTGCATTTACATAACACTTGTTTCTGATGGTTTGCATAGGGGTTTTTGGGTGGTTCGCAGCGCCCGCAAAGCATGTTGTATGTGACCGGAACTCGCCATCTAGTTTGAGTTGTGCCGTCCAGTTAAACGGAAAGTTAACGCATAGTGACCTTTGCCCTTTGGTCGCACAGGACTGGGAAGCGTCTTATGTATCACGTAATGCTGCACAATGGTGTAGTGTCGCACCATTCTAGTTGCCAACTGACGTTTCCGTTTCAGTCGAGCCAAGCAATGCGCCGTCTCTGTGAGTCGTACCGCTGGTTGACAAATTCTTGTATTTCCTCCGTTCTACAGTCCTTCTCGTCTTTCCTGTGTGTACCCCACATACGCTTGCCGACCGGCTATAAGGCTTCCTCTGCCTGTCCCGTGACGGTGTGAAACCAGTGCCCTGTCGTTGAGAGAGAGACTGCTGAGTTGAGTTGCAGAGAGCTGCGTCCGCCCTGGTTGACTGTGGTGTCGCTGAACCCGGCGTGGCGGGCTATGGTGTGCGGTGTGGTGCCGTCGCCGGCTTGGTGTGCCCCGCGCGGCACTGACCGCCGCTGGTGGGAGCCCCGCGCGGCCCTGACCGCCGCTGGTGGCGCGCGGTGTGGTGCCGCCGCCGGCCTGGTGTGCCCCGCGCGGCACTGACCGCCGCTGGTGGCGCGCGGTGTGGTGCCGCCGTCGGCCTGGTGTGCCCCGCGCGGCCCTGATCGCCGCCCCACTGCCGCAGAACCACCCGCTGCATGGCGATGGCCGCCCGGCCGCTCTCCTCCTGCCTGAGCTGCTATCAGACTCGACGGGCCGTCGACCTGGCCTACACTCGCATGATGGGGGTACGTCCACCTCACCCGTATTTGCGTGTATGTGTGTGTGTGCATCAGCGGTGTGCGTGTGTTCCTGACTGGAGTGCCTGTAAATGTTGGTATATGTGGCCGTGTGATGACCAGAGCGCCTCTGTGGGGGCCTCCGAGCGAGCCACCGGCCGCTCGCGCACAGCGAACACCGAGTGACAGCAAGCATGCCGATGTTTTGTGTTTCAGCTAATTCGATAACTTGGTTATTCTATTTTTGCCACGATTCATACAGCAGTGGCAGCGAACACCGAGATTGGTTTGATGAGCACGGTAATCTGTCACCTATCAAAACTAACATGTTTGCCGTAAAATTAGCCAGATTAATGCCACCGGGTTTGATAACTGATACGTTAGGCAAACATCTGCATGGATATCTCGTGTTAAGAAGCGTAGTTCGGTGGCTGTACTACGTAGCATGTGTCCATTTCATGATGCCTGGTGGTGCCCAGGACGAGCTGGTCGGCGCAAGGGTGCGGACTGCCGCTGCTGCGGCCGTGTGTGACGCCTGTCTGTACCCGGCAGCCGGGTCCTGGCCAGTCCTGGTGCGCGCACGAGCTGCTGGACCGCGACACCACCCACGTGCTGCTCCAGGCGTACGCCTACTACGCGGACCTGCTGGCGCTGGTGCGCTGCGACCTGTGCGCGCCGCGCGGGCCCGACGGCAGCTACGCCCTGCTGCCGGCTGTGCTGCCGTTCGTGGAGGCGGACAACCGGACGAGGCGGTGTCTGACGGTGAGCGGCGGCCGCGCCTGGCGATGGCTGGTTTCCGGGTATCTGACGGTGGACGGCGGCCGCGCCTGGCGATGGCTGGCCGGCCGGCCAGACGCGGGCCGTTGTCGCAGCGGTGGAAAACGCTCCGCGGGATGGCCGCGTGACTCTGTGTAGTGTTGCTCCCATGACACAAACTGCTCAACTGATAGCCAACAAACTTTAGCATTTGAGTTTTACTTTTTTCCAACAATTTGACATCACATATGAAGTTCACCTATGATGGTTGATCTACACGGCCTGAAGCGGCGTTCAGTCGCGGTCGCGGACTCCGTTCACAACTTAGGCGTGAGGAAATTTTTCACACAAAAAGGAGCGATCTCTTTACTTAAAGCCTTTTCCCTGTAAACCACAATTTTGTGCTGAATCCGTGGCAGAGTCCTTCAGAAGTAAGACATCTGACCTTTGATCTGGCCTGATGTTCCTTGGCATGGTCTTGGCGTAGCTTCGGTTCAGGTGTGCGTGACCGCTCACTTCGCATGAGAATAAAATAGATCTTTCATGCTTGCATCAAATTGTCTGAGCGAAAACAAAACACCGAATCTCAAGAGAAATGTGTGCTGGCCGGCGGAATTCAATCAATTTTTCATTGTCATGATGCCATAGTTTCGCCAAATGACGTGACCTAATTAGGCTATTTTTTGTCTTTTCGTTGCGTTGTGTTGCTAACTGAGCACTCAAAGGGAGTTTGGTGGTTCTCTCGCGAACGGTTGGGAAGCTGTTGAGGGAGTAGACTTTTTATGAGGCGACTGGGACTTTTTGTATCAGTCACTCTCATGGAGCCAAGTTTGTTCCTCTCGCTTAGGTCCGGGAATGGTGACGGAGGTCGGCTTCGGACGCTGCGCCTGTTATGTGATCTTTATCGACGCCGTTATTCCCCTGATTCCGGGCAGGTCTGGTGGCCATGTCATCGAAAGATCTTCGCGGCGACCAATCTTCGCCAGTTCCTTCGAATTTTTAACGTGGCATTTCGTACCTACTGGCGTTTCTAGTGTCCCCGTTTATAATGTGTGACTGAAACTACTGATCGTCATTGTAAACGGTATTTGTTCTTGCACGCACTGAACAGCCCACGAAAGTCTCGGGTGAGCCGGGTTTATGCCGTCTAGTCTGTCAACGACATCGTAAATCTGCCTCCTTTCAACTCAAACTCAAACTAGGCTTCAACGCGCCCTGCGCGTCCCCTCTCTTCCCAGTCGCCCAGCTGCACGAAAGGGGGGACACGAGATAAGATAGGGAGAGATAAGGCGCCAGCTCATTGTCAGCGGCCTGCGTGGGCACGCCAGGGATAGCGGCGCCAGTCGGGCCGCCCGGCAGCTGCGGCGCACGGCCAGCCGGTTATCTTCCTTTGTGGCATATTGTGCGCACGTGGAGTTCACACGGATATCTTTTGGGGCTGCTCGGTCACAGAAAGCCAAGGAAAGGCATGACAAGGGCTGTGTTGGAAAAGAACCTACTTGTTTTCGGAAGTACGCCGTGTGTAATCACACAGTACAGACAACGTAGACATTCCATTACAATAGCATGTCTAAGTAATGCGCATTATAATTATCTGTAAGCTGTAGATGGTAGTATCGCGCAGCATGGTAAAAGCAGCACATGGACCACGATTTCGGTACATGATTTGAATCATGTATTGCGACCTGAACGCCACTTGGCTTAAGAAAATCATTCGTTTTTTTAAGATGATCCCACACACAAACGCTCCCTTGGCCATTATCGGGGGTTTTTGGAGCGCGCTATGCGTTACGCCTGGTGTCGCCACGCCGACGGCGGCGCTCGCGGGTGGCTGACGAGCGGCGCAGGCGCGGTTCGGTGTGGGGACGGAGCGCTGCCGACGGCTGATGACGGGCTAGTCTGGTTCGTGAGCGGTACCAGGGTACCGCCCGGGAGAACACACGCTTCTGGTGCTTACCAGGCCAACGGAATGTGAAGATGTTTTGAGAGGTAGAATGATACGTTATGCAGAAATGTGCTACGTGTAATGCTAGCGTTCTGGATATGCCAAACTCTGAAATATTGACACGAGCACACAAAACACATTTATGTCCCACGCGTAGGGCATGCTGTAGGCTGATGTAGTCGTGTCGACGACCCGGTTATGGCGCTCTGAAAGTATATGTCGAACCTCTGATGGCAGCTGTTCGCCTGGTCAAGAGTAAGTGTCTGGCGGATGTGGAACTCGTCGTGCCGTGCAGTGGGGACCTGTAGCCATGCTGCCGCCCGGGCCGCGTCACAGCTGGGAGATGGCAGCTGGACGTGGGCGGCGGCTGACCCCCTCGTCGGGCGGACCTGGTTCTCCTGCAGGCGGCCAACGGCAGCGCCAGCGCGTGCGGCTCTTGCAGCGCGCTGTACGAGCGCCAGAATGTGGCGGCCCAGGCGGTGATCGTCGACCCCGACAACTGGCACACCTGCCGTGACGTCATGGATCTGGTGGGTGGCCGGGATGTGACGTCAAAAGTCGTTAGTTTGAAACGGTGTTGAGGCCAGTGGACGTTGGGATATTTCGTGGACGTCCTGCACTATGTGGACATCTCTACATATATCTGACGCATGCCGTGCAGGCGACGTGATTTTCAGTGGCTGATATTGGTAAGGTGTGAGACTTCTGCTAGTGTCGCTTCTGCCTATTTTCTGGTCCGCACGTGGCTGTTTTTCTTCTTGTGTCACACGACAGCATCGCTTGGTTTGTGCCACCCAGAGATGATATCAGTAGATACCGGCGAAGTGCAAGAAGCGAATGTAACACATTGCGTGTGATATCGACCCACCGGCCGGGCATGGCCTCGCTTCTGCAGAGTCTTCGTAACCGGACAGCGTGCCCGCTCTCCGCTTGGCTCCGCCCTGCCCCTCCCCGCGCCCTGTCGGTTGTGTGACGAGCCGCCGGTCGCAGGCGAACGGCACGCTGACCCTGTGGGAGGCGCTCGGCTGCGGCGCGCGTCCGCTCAGCTGGGCTTCCCTGCTCGGCTCGCTGGGCTTCGGCGGCGCCATGCTCGCCCTCGTCGTCCTGTTCTACGCGGGCGTCTACTGGCGCATGCCGCGGGCGGCCGGGCTCGCGCCGGAGCCCGCCGCCGGCCGCGGCGCGCGCCACCTCTACAGCTTCTCGGGCCTGGACCGTCGTCCGTCCACGGGCGCCACCGCCGCCGCCGCTACGGCCACCGCCACCGCCACCGCCACCGCCGGCGCCGGCGCCCGGTGACCGCTGCCGCACGCGCGGCGACCCCAAACTCTCGCGGGGAACCCACACGATGTGTGAAGCATTTGTACTCTTGAGTGAAACTCGGCCCCTTTGCCTGTACTCTCGTCTGCAAATGATTGTACTCCTGACTGGGATATTGGCTGTGACGGCTGTAGCGCCCGGTGCCTTTTGGTGAACGTTCCATTCGCGTACTTTTAGGACATGAGACCCACCATGCAGTTGACGTGTGTGATATGTTATGGGCTTTATACCGTGCGTGCTGTAACCGTGGACCCGCGCGTGTCCATCCACATATATGGCAGCATCCACTCCATCGCGTTACACATATATACAATCGTGATAAACCCCTCAGGGTGGCGCTGGTCGCCGCCTCAGTTAGCGCGCCCATGGCCCGGGCCATGTGCTCCGCTCGGGCGTGTCTGTGACAGGTCTGTAAGTCACTATCCGTCCCAGTGTTGGCCCGGTCTCAAACCTGGCGACCAGTCGGGCCAGGCCGTCCGCTGATAGTGACGCCGCCCAGGCCCTGCCTTCCGCCGACCTGGGAGCACACGGCCGCGGTGGCCCCGCCAGACCGAGCGGTCGCGGCCGGTGCAGCCCGGCCCCGGCGCGCCGCTCAGCTGGTCCGGCCGCTGGCTGGTGGTGGACCTCCGCGCCGCTGCACTGGACGGCTGGCCCCGATCTTGCGCGCCCTCGCGGCTGGACCTGCCTCGGGCTTCCGCAGACAGGACTGTTCGCACACGGCCGCGGTTTTGTAAACACTTGTCGTGCCTGGCGGGAGAATACACGTAGCCAGTGATGATAAGCTCGGTTCTATCCCATGGAAGCGGCAATCGCTGGTCGGCCGTACGTAAGGTGATGTCGGCGGTCTTGCCATCTGGCGTGCATCGATGTCTCGCGCTTTCGTGCTCCACCCAGGACTGCGTCAGCACAGGACACCGGTACACAGGGTGCCGGTAGTGTAGTGGTAAACGCGTCTGCGTTAACCACTGTACGTCGGGGAAACCAGGGGTACGGGGTTCGATTCCCCGCGGCGCCCGCCCTTCCTGCCAGGGTGAGAGGCAGGCGACGCCGTATAGCATCAGCAGCTGAGTGCGTCGTAAAGCCCCAATGACGTGACAGCACAGGACACGCATTTGTTAGTTGTATTGACACACCCGGGCTAGAGATCTCACATCTCGCAGGGGAGGGTTTGCCAGCCCGAGGGCGGCCCCACACGTGCCCTTCGTCCCAATCCACCGAGGGTCTTCGCAAGCCGACACAGGCACCAGTGCATCGCACAAACCGAAGGACCCCTGGTGTTTTGTTCATCGCTTGGCAGCGCTCGAGGCTCAAGCGATAGTCAGGTTTGCGAGGTCATGTGCCTTCGAGTAGCAGCGACCAGAGAAACGGGTGCGCTCGCGTTATGCACCCAGCTCGGAGAATGTCAGTCACACGAAAACCGGTATTACAGAGCAACCCGTGCACTATTGCACCGCAACATTGCGTTTCGTTCAGTCAAAAGCCCTATTCAATTGCACGGCACACGCGTTTGTCAGGCATGAGCTAAACAACAACTAGTGCTTCATCACAGCGAAAGCCCCTCAACCCACGCCTCCCTGTATCACCGCAACGCCGCTTTTGTGCCCTGTAGCATCGGTAGCTCTTTCAAAGACGTTGCGCGGTTCCACGACCCTACCTTGCACGACTAGTAAAGCCGCAAATCTGCGCGCACAGCACCTCGCAAGCTAAGTGTTGACTTAAGCAATGCCCCGCCTGTAAGAAGGCTCTATCGTGGCTACCGATGCATGTTGGGACAAGCTCCTTGTGAAAAAGGAACCGTCAACAAACCGCGCCAAGCCCGCTAAATATCCTGACTAACCTCCGCCTCTATGGCACTTCAGTAATTATCACTGCGTGAGCGCGCCCATCCTGCGACCACCCCAGCCTGTGCGCTCGCTCCCTGCACACCACCTGTGTCGTGTCCGGCATGCACTGCAAACTACCTGGCACAACCCATGGCAAACTCAGTACAGAACCCCCGTCCGCGTCCAATGCCGTGCGATAGGTGCGTCGGTGCCGCGTCCTCGCTCCTCAGGTGTTTCCCGACCGCATGTGTCGGTGCTGCGTCCTCATCCGGAGGTGTTTCCACGGACCGCATGCGCAAGTAGTGTGCGTGCCAGCCGACACGCAGTCGGCTAAAGGCGGCCGCGTGCCCCCACTTCCTGCCTCTCGTCTTCCCGGTGCGGTCAGCCCGCTGCCGCGGTTGCCTGCCGCCCGAGGTCACGCTCGCGCCGGCGGCGTTGGAGCCGCCTGCAGGTTACAGGTGGCGGCGCTCGACCGGGCCCCAGGGCCGGCTGGAGATCTCACGACACCGGCTACCGGCCACCCTGCTGCGGCCGGCCACTCGGCCCCAGCCGGGCCTCTGAAGACTTCACGACTGGCGGCGGCCGGCGGCGTGAGCGGCCGTCACACCGCCGCCACATACACGGCGTTGGCGTAGAGCGAGGGCGTGGTGAGCGCGCCCAACACCAGGTACCAGAGCGCCAGGCCGGCCACGTACGCCAGCACGAGCGCGGCGCGCCGCGGCTCCGGCTCCGACGCCAGGCCAGACAAGTCCGGGAAGCCCATGTGGTTGCAGAAGGCGTGCGCGATGAAGGGTGCCGCCATGTGACCCGTCCGGACGAACAGGTACGCCTGGGTGGGCGAGCGCGTGGCGTCAGCGGCTGGCGGGCCGGCACCGGACTGGCGTCCGCCGCATGTGGCAGGCACGATCACTCGCTGAGCGACGGCGAAAGGCGCAGCACAGTTTCCAGGCACAAACAGCGGGACGGCGTGTAACAGAACGCGCCTTCGCCCCGGCTTCATTGCTTCGAGACGTCTCGCCATGGAGGCGAAACCACACTTTGGCTGTGATCAGCGAGGGATCAACGAGTGGGTCACGGGACTCAGATCACGAAGCTACGCACTACAATTTGATCGTGCTCGCAAACCGTTGCCACACAGCACACGACCCCCGTCAACGTTATAGACGGGTTGCTACGTCCCCAAGCCATCAACAAGCCGACTGCAATCCTCTACGTTCGCCAATAATCCCGAATAAGGGTCAACCTTTCCCTCCACCTACACATACGTACCGAGTAGACGCCGAACACCGTGGTGTAGGCGAACTGGAAAAGGCTGGCCGCCAGCGCAGAAAGCACATTTTGCCGCTGGTTCAGTCGCTCGATCAGGTGGTGCAGGTGCGCGATGCCGAAGAAGAGCGGCACGCAGAAGTACACCTGCTGCGGCGGCATGCAGGTGGCCAGGATAGGTACCATGCAGGCGCGGAAGGTGAACTCCTCAGAGAACGGCGCCACCACGTGGTTGCGCACCCACACCAGGTTGCGCAGGCTTTGCCACCAGTACATGGGCTCGAGGTAGAGGTTCCAGTGGCCGACGTGGTACTGCTGCAGCAGAGGGCCGAGGAAGAGCAGCGCCGTCAGCAGGTAGGGCAGCACCAGCGCCGGCAGCAGGCCGCCCCAGCGCAGCCCCATCGCCTCCCAGAGCGAGTGGCGCGCCAGCGGGGCGGCGCGGCCGGCGCCGGACGTCAGGTACAGGTGCGGGAACACGGGCGACACCAGCGACACGAGCAGCACGCTGACGAAGCGGCGTCGGATGGTGGACGGGTGGTCGCGCGACAGGCCCGACCGCCACACGTACAGGCTGCCCACGTACAGCAGGCCGAGCGAGCAGCAGAGCAGCACCGGCGCCAGGCAGCCGCCAGCCGGGCACCAGTCGGCCGTGCAGCCGGCCAGCTCCGGGCCGTCCATGGCCGCGCCTGCGCCTGCGCACACGGGAGACGCTCAGTCAGCTGTCGCACAGGTCACAGGTCACCAGGCACGGGTCGCCCGCGGGTCGAGGAGGATCGGGTGACCGGACGGTCAGAGGGGGAATTCGGTGAGTGTACAAGCCGATGGGCGGTCAGTGGCCTGACAGGTCGGTCGAAGGTCGCTTAGTTGGCAGGTCTGCTCACAGAACCGTGAAAAGACCCCCACTATAGTAAACAAAAGATAACTTCGTTAGTCTTATGCACGACAAGTACCATATATGAGTCACTGTGACTGTTTTCACGTGCCAGTAAAGGGGCTTTCTGCGCCATAACAAAGCATGAAGCCGGCTTCTTCGGCGGATGCAGCACCCATGGGTGTCAATTCTTGTAACTTAACGGGGGCCGAACCGAAGGCTCGACAACCTACCCATTTTTCTTACCTGATTAAGCCCACTTTACTTTGATTAAAAACACGGTTTTTAATTTTTCATAATTTAAAAAAGTTTTAATTTAAGCAGTATAGGAGTCACGCAAGGGTGGATCCAGGGAGCAGGCACCGGACGCATGCGTCCCTTCTGATCGGCGCGTGAACGCACCCTTTTAGAGGCCACCTTAGGGCGCCGATGGCGCTCTTCTATGACGGTCGTGGGAGGCGGCACGTATTTTGGTTTTGGCGGACGGGACGGGGTTAGCCGTGAAGGACTTAGGTAATCCCATATTCCAGAGCTTTTCACCTCAACCTCACGACCTATTGCGTGACTTATGGCGCTACGTATGCGAAGTTCATTGCACCGTTTATCCGCTCAGCTGTTGTGATTTTTATTTCATGGTGAGAGTAACCATGACTTTGTTGAGCGGTACGAGACGCCACTGCGCAAAAACATCAAACAAGACAGTCTGCGTTGTAATCGTCTTTTAACCACGCTTTCGCAGCATTCCAGCCAAAAACATCGGGGGGGGGGGGGGGGCAAGCCAACATGGGGGGGGGGACAACCCCACATGGGGGGGGGGGCAGGGCCCTCACAAAGATAGAAATCGACACAAATGGCAGCACCTGAATCCGGCAAAGCGCATTCACCGACTCCTACGTCCCTCTTTCGCGCCCAGCCAGGCGAACACAAGCAGCTGTAGTGCGCACAAACTCACTCGCAGCTCGGGCTACCCGCGTCGAAAACTCCGATCACAGACAACGCAATCGGTCCGAGGGAACGGCACAGCAACAGGGAGCGCGTCCGTGCTGCCGAGCGGCGTCCTTCCCTGAGGCCCACGTGTGGCACACTGTCCGGCCGATGGGGCGGGCTATCTCCGGAGCCGGTTGCGACAGCGGGTCTCGTACTGGGGGACAGGCGTTTACCGCGGCTGGACAAATGATCAACACGTCGGCGGGTCGGGATAAAACGGCGTGACTAAGGCGGCGCACCCGCGGCGACCGGGCACGGACACGTCGAAGATTGACGGAACGCGACGAAATAAAAACAAACAGGGTAGGCAGCAGAGAAGCGCCACGCAATGTGTGGCACGATGAGTGTCAACGGAATGCTCTGGCCGTACAGGGACATCTCAGCAGATATATGGAATGTTTGCATCGCACCGGCCAACTCAAGCCGTATTTCACGAATCCCAGCCTTAAACCCAACCTGTTTTCTTTCCCACCCTGTCCTTGTTTCCGTCCCCTTCCGTCATTGCCCGCGCACATCTCCATCTCCGTCCTCTTCTGTCTCAATCAACTGCCGGCTGAAGCGATGTCTGCTTTTTACCTTCTAGTCGGTTGCGATATCTTTCATCTTTTCAGCCTGTTTTGTGAGTGAACTTTGCTCAACCCGAATTTGGGTTCCCAATTTCGCTTAACCATTTTGCGCGACGTGATCCTGAGCCAGAGGCATGCGCCATACACAAATTCAGTTCACATCTCATTCACCGGTAAGGGCCTTTACACCTGAAGGGGCCTAGTGACTCCGGATAATGGTTCGCGCTCGTACGGCCACAATGCCAACGTGCCCAGTCACATTTCACAGCATTGTACGTAGTTTCTGCGCCCTTGAACCCCTGCCGACTCCCATTCTTCCCAAGCATTCCAACACATTATCTGCGACGGCACAGCATCGCGCTTGCTCAATAGTTGTTCAAATTTCAAGGAGGGAAGGGGGGGGGGGCAATCTGACCACTAAAAATCCCGGTTGGAATAACTTCGGACTATCGCCCTCACATAATGTTAGCATGTGCAAAACATTTTGGGCCAGTAAATTCTTCGGCCGTCAAGTGTTATAGAGTATTTGAAGGGACTGCATAATGCTTTTTGGCTTTCAACCATGTACGCCACACAACCCAGTCTCTGCTTGGGATTGCTGGGGTTCGTATCAGGTCTTCTGATTGCGAGCCCAGTGCCCTAGCAACTGATGTAATCAGCAAGAACATTTCACAGCATTTCAAGGATATTTTGTCCATCCCATCCAGCTTAACGTGTAGAGCACTGGGCTAGCAATCCGAAGACCATGGTTTGAATCTCAGCTATTTCAAGGGGAGAGATTCAGGATGTGGAACGTACATGGCTGAAAGTCAAACATCATCCCAGTGTAGAGCACTGGGCTCGCAACCCGAAGACCATGGTTCGAATCTCAGCTATTCAAAGGAGAGAATTCAGGATGTGGAACGTACATGGCTGAAAGTCAAACATCATCCCGTCCCGAGGACTCCATAGCGCCTGACAACAACCGGAGAGTTGACTCGTCAAAAACGTGTACATACTGATACACCAAATGGGAGAGATAGTCGGAACAATTAGCACGTCTGCGATGCTATTACCTCACATCAATCCTCCCATTACCTGTACTTGAAAACCCTTCACAAACGTGTCACGTTATAAGCCGGTCTGGAATATGTCCACTTAAGGAAAAAATTGTCTCCAAAAACGACGACGCAGTGCCGAGCCAATTCTAACGGCCATCTCACCTCCCACACTTCGTTATTTAATTGTGTGATTGATCTCTCAAAGGAAGGCATGTCTCCATTAAAACTCCAACATTTGTTGGAACCCTCTCTGCCCGGTGGCCCAGACCAGCGTGGCGGCAGGCCGACATCCGTCCAACATCCGGGGAGGAAGTCCGACACGGGGAGGCGGGTCTCGAGGGCAATTTCATTCGGGGGGAGGCGTTTGCTTAACACTCAATTTCCCAATGCTGCACCCGTGTAAGCCGCTCTGAAAGAACTGCACCCCCCTTACCACGACGGGGTTCCCACGGAGAACTATGCCAATTACGCTACATTGTCGGCCATGCAATCGTCGGACTCGCGCTTCCGTATGAGGGACACGTGATGAAGTGGTGGCGTCGACTGCTTTGGTATCCACACACCGGTGACAATACGTGACCACGCCGTCCGCATGCAACTGCCGACCGCCTGAAGGCCGAGCCCAGTTCGGTGGGAGTGCGCCCACTGGGGCCCATTTCGCCTGAGAGCCGAGCCGAGTTCGGTGGGAGTGGGGACACTGGGGCCCATTCGGCCTGCGACGGGGAGCAGCTCGTCGCACGCAATGAATGCTAACAACCTGCTAAACACATTACTCGCTCAATGCGAACAAAGCGGCGCGCTGCGGCGTGGTGAGTGACATCTGCGGCGTTCCCACACAGGTGCGCGCCGGCCAGCGGACGGCCGTCGACGCGCTCGCGCTCAGGCTCGACACGCTTGCCAGTCCGCGACCACCACCGACACTCCGCAGTGAACCCTGGGAGGTGGCGACTGGGGACGAGCTCCGGTGACGACCCCCACCGGGTGGCCGGCTCCCCTGATCCCGAACCCCACCGGCTGACCGGGCAGTGTGGCGGCGACCCCTGGACGTCTCACGGCGCCAGCGCTGCACCGGCGAGGACGTCGGGTGCCGACAGCGGTCGAGGCTACGGTGGTGCGCTGGCCTCCGCCGACGCCGTGGCCCGCGGGCGGCGCAGCGAGTCCACCGGCAGTTGCCAACGCCGATACCGAGGACGACAGCAAGGCGACACCCGCCACCAGTCCACTGGCCACCGGTCTTGCCGCACAGACAAACACAACATCGAGCCATTTCGTCGCATGAGGCGGCCTGCAATATCTCCAACCAGAGCAGCACACCCCATTCCTTCCGTCCCGATAAGCAGCACACGGCGTATTCGGCGCAAGCAGTAGCAGGCGGAGCGGCGCCAGCGGTGCGCATCGAGCCTCTCAGCGTCAGCCGCCCTCCCGGAAGCGCCGTGCCGTCCAGCCACCCCCGCCGCCGGCTACCGCGATGGACTCCAGCCCGCTGCGCACCGTCTTCTACGCGGCCATGCTCACCGGCTGCGCCGTCGTCTGCCTCCTGCAGTGCGTCACCCAGTTCAACCTGTACTGGAGTGAGCCGGCCGCTATGACCGTCACCATCCAGAAGGGCGAGAGGGTGCTGTTCCCGGCCTTCACCGTCTGCTCCTCGCGCAAGTTCAGCCGCAGTCGAGTCCAGGCCATGGGGCTGCTCAACAAGCGCGGCACCAACGTCGACTGGAACCGCTTCCCGGCCAACGAGTCGGTGGAGGCGTTCTGGCTGGAGGCCGGCACGCACCTGGATGAACTGATCAGCGGGTGCAACCGCGGAGCGTGCGGGGCTCCGGGGCCGGCCGGCGGCGAGGCCCCCGCCGGCCGCTGGACCCCGGTCATCGCCCGCAACGGTATGTGCTACACCTTCACGCCCAACACCACGCTGGTGGTGAAGAACGAAGAGAAGTTGGACATCACGTTCAACCTGTACATCAACGACTACTTCAACAAATTTTCCTCGATATTTGTAGACGTATACTTCCATGGCAACGAGCCGCCAATCATGCAGTCGCGCTACTTCAACGTGGCCGACCACCCCAAGGTGAAGCTGTTCCCCGGCGACATCTCCAACGTGGACGTCACCGGCCGGAGCGCCGTCTTCAAGTCGCTGAAGCGTCGCCCCTGCCAGCCGCAGCGTGGCTACACCGAGACCAAGTGTACGGAGCGCTGCATGTGGCAGCACGAAACGGGCCAGGTGGGCTGCCGCGCGCCCTGGATGGCCGGCCTGACATCGGCGCCGCCTCTCTGCAGCACTCCCCGCGACCTGATGGACATGCAGAGTCCGCCGGCCGTCAAACGCGGCTCCGTCGCGTGCCCGCACTGCGAGCCCTCCTGCTGCACCGAGATGTACCAGGTGCAGGTGAGCTCCTCTCAGCACGCGGCCGGCATGGCCAACAGGGGCACCTGCAAGATGCTGGCGCGCTGGCCCTACCAGATGGAGCTCTCCACCGAGGAGTTGACCTACGGCCTGAGTGGGCTCATTTCGGACGTGGGCGGCAACATGAGCCTGCTGTTGGGCGTCTCCGTCATCAGCATAGTCCAGGCCAGCGAGATGCTGCTGAAGGTGATGCGACAGCGCCTCCAAGCTCTGCACATGGCCTGCCTGACCAGGGTAGCGCCGCCGTCGTGCCCGAAAAAGAAGCCGGCGTCCCCTACACGCGATGTGGCCGGCGTGCCGGTGACGCCGGCCGGCTGGCCAGCCCTGAAGACGGCGAAGGTGCCCGGCAGCGCGCGCTACCAGTCACCGGCCGCCTGAGATAGGTGCTGCACCGTCGTCAACGGCGCCCACTGGCGGGTTCCGCACCACGAGCGCGAGCAGAGACCTCGCTGCCGATCGAGCCGCGCCCTCAGTCAGAGGCTGCGCCAAGGCCCTCTCACATCACGCACCCCCGCCCAGCAATTCTCGCAAGCCAGGGCGTTAATGGCGTCAGAAGTCCTTGCTGTGATATGCCGTGTGCTATGCGGCGATAGCCTGTTACGGTACACTTGCATGTAGAGCAGACGCACACAGAATTACAAAATGCATCCAAGAAGATCCCCCAGTGGTTCACTTTTTTAAACGGAGCAAACAAACTATTCCACAAAGTTTCCTTTGACCCCAAACAGACGCCACAGCGGAAATATTGTAACTTTCGCTGTTTTTTTTACAGCTAACGCCGTCGGAGCACGAGCTAAAGTTCTACGGTACCTGATGGCACCATAATACGTGCACTATATTTATCATCCACAGTAACTTTCCACAGAGGTCCGTTTAAACTGAAAACTATGTATAATCGATATGGTACATACGGCGCGGATAACTGCCGCCTGGCAAAAACAAATGCCAAGACAGTGACAGCTGACACAACTTTCCAGACATTTGGCACATCGACGATGCTTTTCTTGGTCCCAGTCTCTTTAACAGCGTCGCCATTCGCACACATTCTTATTATGCAATGTTTCACTAGCACCTGTTTTGAAAAATAAACTGATGGTGACAAGCAATATTTACCAACGCAGCGGATATGCCAGTGATGTCAAGGATACGTCGCCGCATGAGCTGCAGCCGGGGGAAATAAGGACTAATCGTAACTAGTAACACCTAGTTCCCTAGCACTTAGAGCCCCTGGCAAACAAGCGATAAAATGAATCGACGCTGGCTGCAGCTTGCCGGTTTTCCGGTTGGCAGCTAGCCAATCCTGAACCGATGGCTTTTGTGATAAGTGAATATAAATAATCCATGCAGAATCCTTGATATAAACAATTAAGACGTACAGTTCCTGGTTTTTCAGTATTATGAGTTAACACATCTCATGCTGAGTTACTGATCTCTAGTATACCAGGTGCCGGCGCCAAGTGTTAGTATATTCACTGATCGCTATTGGTATACTTTTCAGTAGAGAAGACTGCTCCTCAATAAGCCATTGTTTGATTGCGTCATCGCAAGTTGTACATTGATTGAGGGTAAATTGACAGCCGTTATATCTGAAAACCGAGCTCATGACCGCCAGATATGAACGACCCTGCACTTAAATCTGTAATGGTTTTCATTGCCGCATGGCCAATGGAATGGTACCATTTGAATGACGTTATTATGGCGTCACGAATGCCTACGTAACCCCGAAAAAGCCTGCACGACAAAGCATGCACATTTTCACGGGTGTGTAGCCCAGAAACTACAGGTTTAGGTCTTAAGGGCAGAGTTGTGGATTGTTCCGAACAATTCTCAAGACGGCTATTTCAGTTCAACATCCCAGACAAATGTGTAACACTCACTTCAATACAACCGGCGATGCCCTTTATACTGTTGAAAAATAAGGAAGTCAAGCATGCTTATCAAATAATCCTCGAAGCATGTAAAAACAAAAACAAAAACACCTCAAAGCATGCGAGCACAAATGGAAGGCCTGGGTGGTTATGTACGTTGGACACACACGTGCCAAAATGGAGGGCCCGGATGGCAATGAACGCTGGACACACGCGTGCCAAAATGCGTTTAGGGCGACGAAATACATGCGCTACCGAGGCTTGCACTACACAATAATCACAAGAACTGCAGTAGCAAAGGTCATACTGGGCAAGATGAGACACACACGTAAATGTGTTATCGATACAATAATGCTCATGCCATCCTTCCTCATCAGTTTTGGTCAGATGAGACTCTCCTGAAAAATACGCCGTGGAAGTCACAGATTTTAGGTGAATGTCACGACTGTGTTGGGCAAACTGATCTCATTAATCATGTCATAAAAGCAACCACTCAACGACAGAAAATATCCATCTGAACACTTTTCGAAGGTTGTGATCTCGGCCGAGACGATGCACGGAACTGTGGCACACATATGAGGGGTTTTACCGCGGGTTGAGCGAAAATGGACACAGACAGAGGTGGATACATCAGCAGCGCTCAGGGTGGCTGCGTAAGACTTGAGCATGTGTTGTTTTTTGTGGTGCTGCTATAAAGGATCGCTTCAGCTAAACGGTGATCGGGACACTGCTGTTGGTGGCCGATGAAATGCACATGTTTTGCAAAAATGATCTTGCTTTTGAAGGCCTCCGTTGTTTGAATGCTATATTTCATGCTTCGTGACGATGTTTGTTTTGTCCTTGATTTGCTTGAAAATTGCTTTGTGCTGCTAGTGATGGATATTGCATGACTGCACGCCGTGGCAGGCTAGATGCGAACGCACTCGGCATACCAACAGGATAAATACACACCGTTTGTTTGTTGTGTATGTTTTTGGATGCTTTTCTTGTTTTAAGCACCCATGTCCTGCTGTGTGAGGCTTTTAATAAAAGCCAAACATGGAAAAACATATGTACTCTATGACAGCGCTTTAACAGTACCTCTAGGCATACTGAAAGTTAAAAACTCAGCAAAGAGCTCGTTGATACTGATTTGGGTTTTAGGGCGCTACGACCGTTTGGCTATTGAACGCAATAATAAAGGGGATGTTCCTCGTTTGATCATATTGAGGCAAGAATCAGACACGATAAAATATGCTCACTTGTGACTATTGGTGTATTTGAAAGTGCAAGCAACTGCTCTACACAACATAATTTCACCATTTAGTAAATATGCCCCTCAATATGTCATCAGTTGATTGCGCCACGGAACGTTTGCATAACGTCAAGTGGCTGCCAAACAAGCCGTGCGGAATTGCCACCCTAGCGCTCACTTCCAGTCCTTCAAACACGCCAAGAGATGGCAGCACGGTGTTGGAAGTGTTCGCTGAACCAGTTATCGTAAAAAGCTAATAACCATTTCCTACCGATAATGTCATCTCCTGCCGATAATGGCATCACCTACCGATAAAGACATCCACCCTGCCTGTAGTGGACGTTAATCATCACCCATGCCTATCAAGGCGCACAAGAGCTTATCGACCCATTTCCAGACCTATTTGTGCCTAAGGCTGGCCGAACACTGGGCGCATGACAGCCCTTCAAAAATGCCTTGCATTTCTGGTCGCATTCCTGCCATTTATAAACAATATAGTTCAGTAAACACAACCTTCATTGTAGACAATTTACTGCACACAAAACGTTAAAGTCGGACCTCCATAGACCATCAGGTAATTAGACACCAGACAGAATGGCGCACGGCACACGCTGGGCACATGCCAGTTGGCGTCCCTTCCCTGTGCGGGGTCGTTCGCATTAATTTCATGACTGGGAAAGCTCCCGTAAATGTGCACCCGCCTTTGAGAACGACGTAAACGGACACCGTGTCACGTCCTTGCAGGCCATATGCCGCAGGATAAGCCAGTTCGATGAGGGACGAACGGGCACCTCGGACAAACCTCATCTGGAGGGGCTAAGGCGCGCGCAGGATTAGCGTCCAGCCCCAGAGAGAGCTGCCGTGTAAAACCATGGTGTTGGACTTCTTTGCAAGCTAAAAATGTTCAGGTGAGCCAAACTTCTGTTTAGCGCAATAGCTTGCAGCACATTGCCCGTCAAGGTGGCTCAGTTGGTTAGAGCGCCTGCCTTCCGATCCACCCACCCGTGGCAGGGTGGGTTCGAGTCATTTTAGGGTGCTCGCTATTTGCCCTTGACAGGTATGGTCCGCGGCCGGTGACAGCGGTCGCTCTAAAGGTCAGTTGACGTCAGAGGGCAGGCCGTGCCGAGCATTGTGGCACGTTAAGCTTTCGCCACTAAATTCTGCCGTTGCTCGGAACTGCGCGATCGGATGGTGGGGTTCAGGGCTCACGCAACAAGCACTGCATAGCGTGAGCGCTGATCCCAGAAATCCATCTATTCCAAGGGTTCGGATCAAATTTATAAAAAAAAACAGGTACCATACTGATTCATAAATAAAATCACTGCAATCTCCTGTGCACAACGCATGGGATGAAAATAATATGTTATAGAAATGTCCAACATATTTTTCACACTCGAAAAACTTTGTTTTTCCGGAGCGAAATCATTCCAAGAAATGTGATTATGCAAAGTTGCCAAACCGTGAAACATGTGAACTACACGATATCAACTTATCACATGGCAAAAACACCTATGTGGAATTATCGCCAGCTTTCGCATGCACCCTCCAATGCAAAGCCACCTAGCCCAATTTTTGGACCTCAGTGTGTAGATTTTGCACTCCTCTGAGCAGATGATCTCGGAGACCGGCGGTGTGGCATTCAAACCATCAGCAGTCGCCTCAGCGCCAGCATGGCCACAGTAATGATCATGAAAATGGAAATTTTGGGTGGCGAAGCAGCTTGAATACTAAGTGCGCTGCCAACTGGATGCCTCACTATCTCACACAAGATCACAAGGATACAAGTGAGGAGGATCCACCTGCATGGGTGCTTGGTCATCACCAAGTCAGGCTGGCAACCATTCCTGGAGTCCATAATCACTGTTGGTAAGGGGCCTGGGGCAATGAATGCCACCTTCCCATCATGGTTATTATCCTACGTCCAGGTTTGGGCGCAAGGGTCATGTGTACAGTTTTGACACAGATCCCATCTTCAGTATCAACTTCCTTGCCAGGAGGGACACCTTTAATCCCAAAATATGTGCTAATTCTGGAGATGATGCTGACTGAGTGCACGAAACGACTGTACAAGCGAGGCGACACATTCGGGCTCGATCACGACAATCATTGACCCCATATGTCGCACCAAACAGCTATTTCCTTGAGAAAATATGAAGCCTCAGTGAGCAGTACCCACGTTTTTTGCCAGATCTAACATCATCAGCCTTTTCCTGTTCCCAAAGCTCAAGACAACATTGTGTGGAAATCAATTTCTCCATGCTGAGGAGATAGCATGGGTCGTGAGGTGCGCAACAGTACAAAGGCCTGAAGGTACCAGGAAGGGACAGTTAAGTGTGGTGCTCAGGTGCGGATGTTTATGTTCCAAGGTGTTTTTGAAGGATATTTTTCCTGTTGCACATTAATGTGTTCAAAATAAGCATACAGATGTCAAACATCATGGCATCCCCAATGGATGCAGTTGTACCTTCAACACCAGAGCTGTTAAATTACTTTCCACTTGAGGAAATGCATTTCCTGATCAATGCCCCTGGATACATTAGAGCTGGTATGTAGGGAAAGCATGATTACAGCCAGCAAGTCTGCTGGCTTGCAACTCATTTGTTACATACATCACTCCCCCTGAAATTGCCTAAACCTGCTTAGATTCTGGCTGAAGAACTGCAGCCAGCACATGGACCTTCACATATTCTAGACAACAATGTGAGCAATAACAAAGTGAGGTCAGGATAAGGTAAAGTAAAGTAGTAAAGGTAATACTGAGGTCAGAGGGCATTAAAGAGGGGTCATATATGCTCATACCATAGTTATATGCACAAACACTGCTGAGCTACTTCCACTGCCAGGATTCATAAGATACTCATTTTGACACAATTTCAAACATTGGTATTTGTAAGCACTGCTGTCCCTGTCTCACCCCCCCCCCCCCCCCAATTCTTCAGTTACCTGCCAGCAAGATGTAATGGTCAATAATGTAGCATTAGCATTGTAGGAGGCCTAAAGGCTCCAATTTACACATTCAAGTAGATGTTATGTACATTTGTATAATGTCTTGCTGTGCTACAACCCAAAAAATTAGCTTTAACCTACCAATCTTGTAAGTCACAGATACACAAATTTGGAGAAAAGGGATGCCACTGAACATGTCTTGAATCAGACAACTACACTAGACCCAAGCACCCATAACTTTTTTCAAAAAATGGGATATTAGGATACCCCATCATGACTTGATAGGTCAGGAGTCAGGTAGATAGATAGGTAGGCAAGCAGGGAGGAACTGAGGGAAACAAGGAGATGGTCTGTAGTTCTAGCATGTTCAGACATTTTATTCCAGTTCAAGTGTGGTTATTATATTTTCAGGCCTGGGCAAATGGACAAACATGGGTAAACCAATAAATGAGGATTGTGACATATCACAAAGGGACTCTACAGGGACCTAAAGCTCATACCATTGTTACCTGAGTGACAGAATAAAAAACATGCTACACCAGTGCCTGCATGTCCAAGAGATATTCATATCCCAGCAACAATTTTGGCACACATGTACTGTAAGCTGAGAGCCCTAGGCTTAGCACAAGATCAGAATCAACTTTGGTGCATAGATAGCCAGTGTTATGAGGAATTATGTTATGACAAGTTCTAGCAAAAATACTTTAACACATCATTCAAGCCAAATATGATGAAAATTTAGCACAAACTCTCCTAACCTGTGCCTGACACATGTGTCTTATGTCCTTCACTCTAAGACAGCAATAACATTCTGGCACAGTGGGCAGATATCTTGCAAGCTGGCCTAAACATTCTTGAAGACCACAGATTTAAGCTCACTCAGAGCACACACAGAATACCAGCAAATAGTTGTCTACCCCTGGTATTCACCACTGATCAGTGGTCTTGCTTGTTGTATTTCCTTTCATGGTTTTAACAAAACTGTCATTTGTTGTTTCCATGCATTACTGGAGATACAACAAATCACTTCATGCAAAATTGGTTGTGCAATCTGTAAAAATCACTGCATTTTCCATTCCAACATCACACTGATGCACTGAGCCAGGAACACATGTGCTAAACTCAGGCCATACCCTATTGTACAGACCTTTCACTCTATCTCTACTTGAGTCTTTGGAGCATTTCAGCCTGAAATGATCTTTGATAAACATAAATTTCCTGACAAACTGAAATCTTTTGGTTGAAATTCATGTCAACCAGGCACCAAAATCCACATCTCTGGATTTGCAACATGCATGTCCTGAAAATGTTGACAGCATGTTTCTCTTGCAAGGCATACCTGGAACAGCCTGGGCTGGCATGGGGGCAAAACAAAGAAACCAAAACCTATTAAATAAAAAACTAAGGTAAAAGGTGTTCAAAACCACCCGTCCTGTAAGGTGGCAGCCGATTTTAAAGCTTGGAGCACGATCAAGACATATCACTGAGTGTACATGTTCGCCCAATACTAATCATGTCAGGCTGCGTCGGAGGAGTGTTGCTCAAGAGCCGTACCAACTCAATAACCAGCTGAGTTAGGTACTCACACGGAACGCAGCCCACAGATGTTTGATTAAAGCAAATCTAACACACTCAAAATTCTACCCTGCTCCGAAAGGCTATTTGTGCAAAACACACGCCACATGCAAAGGCTACCTGCTGCGCCGCCGAACGCCGCCCTCTCAATCCAGTCGCTTTACGTCTCGCACTTGCTCAAAAGTCCTACCTTGGTGTCCAGATGCCAGCTGATAATAACATAAGCCAGATAAAACACTTGTGAGCCCTGTTACGGAACCATCAAAACAGCGGTGGAGACCACACTCGGAAGATGGAGGGGGGGGGGGGGGGGCAGGATCCAGGGACCCTTTACCATTGGGGGTCTTGTTAACCTCAAAAGGGCCCGCTCACGGCCCAACCCATCCCCAAGTTTAGAACGCCTCGGTGTTAGGTCACTATTGTGAGTGGTCCAATGATCTCGAGTTTAAAAGAACTGGGGATTATTGTAAAAATCAACGTGAAGACCGCTCTAGTAACATTTGCACGAAAATTACACTCGTCTTTCGTTACATATGTTGGTGCACCGAAGACGCGCATTTCTGTTTTACTCCAGCATTTGTCGCCGTTAATTGAATAAAGGCCGGACGCGTGTTTCCAAATTTTCTGCACTCTACCCGCATTTCATCGGCATAACTACGCCTCAAACGTTACTCGGATTTCTCCTTATTTTGGCGCTAGTTGGCACCGTTGAAACAAGTTGGACACCTTTTGCACCTCCTTGACTATGTGAGAACATTACGCTCCGGAGGCTGCAGAGGGCCCAGCGGAACCGTCGATCTACTCAGCAGCGCATCTCACTGAGCATAACGGGACGTTGTGCGGGACGTCAGCGGCGCATCGCAGCGCTTATGGACGCCTGAAAGCTTCCGAACATGCCACTGAGGGTGGGGCTATGCGCGCACTACTCTGGGCTGCCGCGCCGCGATCAAGGCCGCAACGAAAAGGAGGCGATCCCACTTGTTCCGTAAACAGCTGTAACCAAGGCCGTCGCCGTTCCTAAAGCAACCCATGCCTGCAGTCCCGCTCATCCCGCGGTGTATGGCCCAACGGTGGACACACGCCTGCGGCCGAGTCGAGGTGGCCCAAACATCACTGCAACCCAGCCGTGGAAGTCCCACCGCTTGGACGCACACCTACGGCTGAGCCGGGGTGAACCAAGCACGGCTGCAACCCAACTGCGGAGGTCATTATGCCAGGGGCGGATCCAGAGCGGAGGGTCGCGGGACTATGTCCCTTTGGACCGCGAAATGGCCCATAGGCTCTGAAAGGGCCCACAGCCGGCCGAACGGACGCAGGTTGTTTTACACAAAACACAACTGCACGTCTTTGGGCTTCCAGGCCACTAAAAAAGCCACAAGCGGAAATGAAGGACCACTAGTAGACAAAAAAAATTATTCACTAATCTAGAGAGTGGCGAATGGGAAGTTTTAAGGCTCATAAAGCTATAGCCGTGGACCCCACATATCAACATGCCGAGGTATTCTGGGTTGTTCAGGGCTCTTCACGGTGGTATTGGTTAACCCACCGGTACATCCCCGATATGCCCGCGGGCCCCCTCCATTGATCTAGGGCCCTTCCAACTTTCTGTCCCTTGCTTAGGGCCCTACGCCCTTATCGGAGGCCCATGTTTTAACCTGTTTGGACACACGTAGTCGTTCGGGGCGCTACAAGTTAAGCCACTTGTGCACACTGCATTGCTCGGGAGCCGTGCACATTGGGTTTGGGTGTTTGAATTTAGGGTTCTGCGCTTCTGTCGGGGGCCATCAGATAGTGTGTTTGTGCACATTCTATCGTTTTGGGCCCTCTACATTGGGTCTTGGGTACCTCTTATTTGAATGGAGGGCCCTATGCGCTTGTCGGGGGCCCTATCTGCTAACAAACTCCGGCCCACTCGTTCGTTCGGGCCTTCCAAGTTGTGTTGTAGTATCTTTTGTTTGAGTGGAGGGACCCATTTTTTGTCGAGGGCTCTATCTCTTAACCTGCTCTGGCCCACTAGATCGTTTGGGGGCCTTGGACACTGAGTCTTGAGTACTTCCTATTTTAATGGAGAGTCCCACGCACTTGTCGGGGATCCCATCTGCCCACCTTCCCGGGCGAAACAAATTATTCAGGTAACCTGCACATTGGGTCTTAGTATTTGAAGGTAGTGCCCTACGCTTCTGTCGGGAGCGAAAGGCATCTGAAAGTCTGCACGAGTATACTCGATTTTTCGGGTTATAACCACATGTGTCTCGGGTACTTATTATTTAAGTTGAGGGCCCCACGCTGAGGGGCGGATCCAGAGGGGGAGTGGGCACGGGGTCATGGCCCCCTTGGGCCTGAAGGGGCCCATTGGTTCCGAGAGGGCCCTCATTGTTTGAGTCTCCCTCCGCGAAGGTCCACACGAGTCGGCGGTCGGAACTAGACTGTATTTCCGTACTCCGCGAGACGCTCTGCCATCTACCGTTCGGTCTAGATACTACTACTCGCGCGCTATACTCGGTACTCGCACACTCATAGCCGGCCGAACAGATGCAGTTTTTTTAACACAAAACGTAACAAAACTGGATATCTCTGGACTTCCAGGCGACCAAGAACAGTTGTAAGCGAAAGTGAAGGGCGTATGAGAAGTAAAAAAATCAGTGATTGAAAGAGTTGTGAACTGGAAATTGTAGGACCCATTACACTGTCTAGGGGCCCATGCTGTTTCCCGTGGGCCTATGTGCTCACTTGCGGGATCATTCCGATCGTTAAGGAGCTTCCACGTTGCCCTTCATTTCTTTGCATTTGTTCGGAGGGCCCTGCGTTGTTGGGGCCCTTCCTGCTAGTATACAGTGGCACTCTTGTCAATCACGGGCCCTACCACGGATTCTTTCCATTCGTCAGAAAGGCTGTATGGGTTATAGCCGGGTTCCCATACCTTAACCTGCCGCGGTATTCTCGGTTGCTCAGGGGCCTTTTACGTGGATCTCGGTTAGCCTACCGACAGATTGGTGATTTGCTCTGGGCCCTTTACAGTAGTCTAAGGCGCTTCCAATTCTCTGTCACTTGCTTAGCACCCTACACTCTTGTCGGGGGCCATCTGATAGACTGCTTGGGCACATTCAGTCGTTCGGGGACCCGCCACACTGGATCCTGGGTACTTCTTTTCCGAAGTCCGTACTTCCTTTTGGGAGGCCCTACGCTCTTGTGGGGAAGGGGGCTATTTGATAACTTGCTCGAGCACATTTGATCCTTCGGGGGCTTTCTACGTCGGGCTTTGGATGCGTCCTATTTGAACGGGGGCCTACGCACTTGTCAGGGATCCCCTCCGTTCGCTTCCTTGGCCACACCGGAAAGCTGGGGGGCACTGCACATTGGCTCTTGGTGTTTGTATGTAATACCCTCTGCTCTTATCGCGGTGATCTGATAACCTTTCCGGGTACACTCCACCTTTTGGAGCCCTCCGCACCGAGTTTTAGATGCTTCTTATTTGAATGGAGGGGCTTACGCTCCTGTCGGGGCTCCTTCTGATAAGATACTCGGGCCCATTCGATTGTAGCGGACCGCTACATCTGATTTTGGGAACTTCTTTTTTGAATGGAGGACCCGTCGCTCTTTTCGGGGTCGCATCTGTTAACCTATTTGGGCGCACTCGATTATTCGTGACCGTCTACATCGCGTTGTGGGTATTTCATATTTGAACGGAAGGCCCTACGCTCTTGACGGGGCCTCATCTGTTAATATGCTGGGGAACACTTAAATATCCGGGGCCTTCGTGTCCACATCGTGTCTTGGGTGCTTCCTATCTCAATGGCCTACGCAATTGTTGAGCACCCCATCTGTTCGCTGCTTCCACCACACTGGATTGTCGGGGGCCCGGTCTTGGTGTTTGAATTTAGCGCGCTACACTCCTGCCTGAGCCACCTGATAATCTGCTCGGGTATATTTCATCTTTCGGGGCCCTCCTTACTGGGTTTTGGGTACATCTAATTTGAATGGAGAGCCATACGCTCTTGTTGGGCCCCTTCTGATAAGCTGTTTGGGCACATTCCATCATTCTTGTGCCATTTACGTAGGGTCTCCGGTGCTTCCCATTCGAATGGAGGGCCCTACGCTCTTGTTGGGAGCCCTATTTGTTAACCTGCTCGGGTACGCTCGATCATCCGGGGGTGCTCTACATTGGGTTTTGGGTCCTTCCTTTTTGAATGGAGGGCCCTTGCTCTTGACGGGTGCCCTATTTGTTAACCTGCTGGGGCGCATTCGATCGTCCAGAGCTCTACACATTGTGGCATGAGTATTTCTTATTTGAATGGATGGCGCTATCTTCTTATCGGCCCCTTCTATTAAGCTGGTCGGGCCGTTGGCAGATGCAGAGGGGGGGGGGGGGGGGGGGGGGAGACACGGGACAATGCCCTATGAACCATGCCGAGGGGACGTAAGGGCTCTGAAGGGGCTGATAACCACCGGGACAGAAGCAGTTTTCTTACAAGAAAAAACAACAAATTTGGACGCCCTAGGGCGTACAGACGACCAAGAATAATTGTTAGCAAAGGTAAAGAGTTCATCAACGGACAAAGTTCATCCTTTGCTGATTGAGAGAGTGTTGCTTGGGGGAAAATTTTGGGGCTCATTACGTTGTCTAGAGGTATTACGCTGTTGGTTGCACGGTCCTATATGTCCACTTGCCGGGTGAATCTGATCACCAATAGCTTCCCACGTTGCCCTTGATCGCTTTGCATTATCTCGTAAGGCCTAATGTGCTGTTGGGACGCTATCTGCCTCCACGCCTGAGCACTGTTGATCGATCAGGTTTTCCTCCACAGATTCTTCCCATTCGCCCGAAGGACTCCATACGTTTTTTTTTCCGGGGCCCTATACGCCAGGGTGCACTCAGTTGCTCAGGGGCCATACATATAAGTCTCGGGTTCTTTCCACTTGCTTGGAGGGCTGTGTGCTGTTGCCAGGCTCTTATAAGGTAAGACGCGGAGAAACTCGTTGCCCAGGAGACCTCTAGTTTGATCGAGGGCTCTCTACTTATGGTTTCATTTGCGGAGGGCCCCTCACTGCTATCGAGGCTGGTGGTGTTAACCTGTCCACACACTCTTGATGGCACAG